GGCCAGAAACACTGCTGCGAGAGCGGAGCGGGGACCTGGCCACAGGGCCAGGAGCTAAGACAGGAAGGAAGGAGGAGCATAGGAGGACCTGGGCTAAGAAGCCAAAAGGGTGGGACTGACACTCCAGGGCTCCGGACCCGGGCTGGGGGTGCCCAGGAAGGCCCCAAGGCTGCCTGACCTGTGTTATTCCCTTCCTTCTCTGTACCCTGCCCTAACCCTCAGATCATCGCCAACCACCACATGCAGTCTATCTCATTTGCGTCCGGTGGGGACCCGGTGAGTTGGGGAACAGGGTGGAGGTGGGGGAGGAGTAGGGGCCATGCTGTCTGGAAAGAGGGTGTGCTGGGGTCCAAGTGGTGTCTGGAAAGGACCAGGATGTGTAGGGGTCAGGAATGAGATGGGCTGGAAACTGGAGCTAAGTGGCTTCTTCTGACCCTGCCCACCCCAGGACACAGCTGAGTACGTCGCCTATGTTGCCAAAGACCCGGTGAATCAGAGAGGTGAGGCGTGGTGGGGAGCGCTGGGTGGGGCCGGCTGTCCGTGAGGCAGGTGAGCAGGACCTGGGTAGCTAAGTAGGGCTTCGGCTGGGAAGATGAGGCCCCTGACCGCGCCTCCTCCCAGCAGTCCACCAGAACTCACTGACTGCCTCTACTGTGCCCCCAGCCTGCCACATCCTAGAATGTCCCGAAGGGCTTGCTCAGGATGTCATCAGCACCATCGGCCAGGCCTTCGAGTTGCGCTTCAAACAATACCTCAGGAACCCGCCCAAGCTGGTCACCCCTCATGACAGGTGAGCGGGTGCGCAGGGTATGGGCAGCTCCTAGGCACTAGCTGGAACTGAGAAAGCAGGTCTGCTCCACTGCCCACGCTTGAGCTCAAGAGGGTCAGGGGGAAATAACCTGTGTGCCTGTTTCCCACTTCCTGCTATTCTTACGTTTCCTGTGGCCGTCAGGAAAGTCTGGCCAGGTCCTGCCTACTTCTGCAGGCCCGCTCTTCCTCTCGTATGCCAGGCCACCGTGCTGCTGCTCTGCTCTTCTGTCCTCAGCCACCTCACTGCTGGCCTGTCTCTCTTTTTTGACCATTTCTCCATCCTTATTTTTTCACTTTCCTGCCCATAGAGCCATCAGGAATTTGGGTGAGGGAGGGTGTCTTTTTTCCTGAGATCTCGATCTCGACCTTTCTTTCCCACCTTAGATCAGTAGCTACTGAGTATTAATTAATTAATTTATTTATTTAAAAAAATTTTTTTTAATTTATTTATGATAGTCACAGAGAGAGAGAGAGAGAGAGAGAGAGAGAGAGAGAGAGAGGCAGAGACATAGGCAGAGGGAGAAGCAGGCTCCATGCCCCGGGAGCCCGATGTGGGATTCGATCCCGGGTCTCCGGGATCGAGCCCTGGGCCAAAGGCAGGCGCCAAACCGCTGCGCCACCCAGGGATCCCAGCTACTGAGTATTTAGGGGAGGTTAAAATATTCTGGAGTGCATCCCTTCTTTCTACTGTGTGCTTCCCCTTCCTCTTGAAGATAGCATAATAACTGAGAACATGAACTTTAAATCAAATCTGATGTTACCATTCAGGTCTGCCAGAGTTTAATTGTGAAACCGTAAGCAAACGTCTCCACCTCTGCTCCTCATCTCACCTGTATCACTGGAGAAGGGGGTATAGCTACCTTGCAGGGCTGCCAGGGGGATAGAATGCTTGTGTGTAGGAAACGCCCAGACTCAGGCCCACCCTGCAGGAAGTACCCAGTCCATGGCCACTGTCTGTGCCCCCTTGTTCCCTCCTATCCCTCTCAGGATGACTGGTTTTGACGGCTCAGCTTGGGATGAGGAGGAGGAAGAGCCACCTGACCATCAGTACTATAATGACTTCCCGGGGAAGGAGCCCCCTCTTGGGGGAGTGGTGGACATGAGGCTTCGGGAAGCAGCCCCCCTGGGGGCTGTTCGGCCCACCCCACACGTTGTCCAGACCCCCAGCCACCTGGGAGCAACGCTGGTAAGTTATTTGGATGGAGGTGGGCTGGGCCTGGGATGGGAGTGGCCAATTTGGGCTTCTGGTCTCATTTCATTTTTGTTTCTGCAGCCTGTGGGGCAGCCTGTTGGGGGAGACCCAGAAATTCGCAAACAGATGCCACCTCCACCACCCTGCCCAGGTGTGAAGGGAGCTGGGAAGGGCAGAGTCAGGGGTGTGGAGGCAGGGCTGGGGTCACGGTCATGCCTGTTTCCTTATCAGGTAAAGAGCTCTTTGATGATCCATCCTACGTCAATGTCCAGAACCTAGACAGGGCCCGGCAAGCAGGGGGTGGGGCTGGGCCCCCCAATCCTGCCATCAATGGCAGCGTGCCCCGAGACCTCTTTGACATGAGTGAGTGCTTCTCTCTCCACTCTGCATCTCTGTCTTCCTACTCCCTGGGTTCCTCCCCTTGTGTCCTGCTCTTTCCTTCCCGGCCTTCCCTCCCTGAAAGTTTGGGTCTGGGTGTGTGTTGTGCCAGTTGCCTCTCAGGCCTCTCTCTGAACCCCCAGAGCCCTTCGAAGATGCGCTTCGGGTGCCTCCACCTCCCCAGGTGGTGGACATGGCTGAGCAGCTCCGAGGGGAGCCCTGGTTCCATGGGAAGCTGAGCCGGCGGGAGGCTGAGGCCCTGCTGCAGCTCAATGGGGACTTCCTGGTGCGGGAGAGCACGACCACACCCGGCCAGTATGTGCTCACTGGCTTGCAGAGTGGGCAGCCCAAGCACCTGCTGCTGGTGGACCCGGAGGGTGTGGTGAGTGTATCAGGAGTTGGGGGGAGGGCGTGGCAGAAAGGAGGGTGCAGCATGCTCCATGCAGCTATGCGTCTTTCTTCCCTGCTTACCGCTTTTCCTGCTTGGCAGGTAGATGCAGGCATTCTTCCCTTCTCAGACTCCTGAACCTGAGCTCTGTTCCTTTCAGTCCTCAAATGCCCAGCCCTGAAGTGCATTTGAGCTGGGTGTTCATTTTGCCTGAGCCCCTCTTTTGACAAAGGAGGAAACCATCCTGGAGAGGTGGCAATGCCCTTCGCCTGAATTGACCTCCTCCCTTCCCACTCCTCAGGTTCGAACAAAGGATCACCGCTTTGAGAGTGTCAGCCACCTCATCAGCTACCACGTGGACAATCACTTGCCTATCATCTCTGCGGGCAGTGAACTCTGTCTCCAACAGCCTGTGGAGCGGAAGCTGTGATCCATCTCAGCGCTTTCTCCCCGAAGGGGTCCTTCCACCGCTTCCACTCTATTCCTTGAGTCTCAGGACCTCATTTGAGGGTGTTCTGTGGGCTTGGCCTTGTTGTGTTGGAGCTGGGGATAGTGTGGACATGGTTCAGCATCCAGCTGAATGAGAGGTTTTGTCAGAAGCCTGGGGTAGAATTTTGTTTCTCCCCAAACCTTACCAAAGTATTAATGTACAGAGTGGCCCCCTTCCCTGGGCCCTTCCTGTGCCAATCTGATACCCCCTTCCCCAAGAAGGTGGGTGCTTGAGGCCTAGGCAGTGTGCCTCCTTGAAGTGAGGAAGGCCTAATGGGGCAATCACCTTCCCAGGGAAGGGGACTGAATCACACCTTTGGTCTACTCCTGGGCTCAGGGTATCCCAGACCCCTCTCAACAACTCTCCCTCCCAGTGGTTAAACTTTGTGCCTTTGACCATCTTCTAGGTCTGAAGACATTTTATGCAAAGAATTCTTGAGCCCCTGAAGTGGAGGGTGGGAGTGCTGACACTTTCTTGGCTTCTGGAACCCCGCCCTCTCCTTGCTCAGCAATCCCTCTGCTTTAAGTTGGGAGACCAGAGGCAGGAATGGCAGCTGTCCCCTCTCCGGGGAATAGGCAACCCTTAGAGATTGCCTCAGAGTCCCTCCTTCCTGGCCAGCGGGGAGATGGACCCCTCCCTTGCTCAGTGCCTCCTGGCCAGAGGGGCCCCTCACCCAAGGGGTCTGTATATACATTTCGTATGTCGACCCATCACCCCCCTCACCCCTCCCATATTGCCTGCATGTTATGCTCTACAGCCAAAGCATAGTCCTTGGTCCTGCAGCCTCTACCCCTGCCTCCTCCTGCTGGGGTGGGTGTGGGGGGCGGGCAACTGGACTCTGGCTTCCTGAACTGGTAACTGTGCCAGGTGAATTTGTGGAGGCAGGAATAGGGGCATTGAGACTAAAGCAGTAGACAATCCCCAAATACCATCGTAGATTTGGGACTGCATTTATTTTTATTTTATATGCATATATTTTAGGGCTGTAGATTTCCTTATCTGTTTTCCATGGCTTACCTTGAGCACAAAATGATAATCGACGACAACGTGTACACATCACCTCTGTGACTTTTAAAAGCCCCCTTCCAGTGATTGGTATTTTACTCCTCCCAGCCTTTGAGGCAGGGGGAGCCCCCCTCAGCATTATCTCTAAAGGCAGAGACCTGGGGCACAGCGGGGCGGGGAGGCCCCCCGGGGCGCACCAGGCCTCACCCCTGAAGTGACAGCCCCCTGGGCAGCCCGCCCTGCCCCCGCTTAATGTCTCAGCCCTGGGTTTTTCATTTCCTCCGATGCGTCCATGGCGCTCACTTATACCAAAGGGAAATTCTCTTCATTAAAGTCCCTATTTCTTGTACCCGCGGCCTCGTGTTCCTGTTGCTGCCCTCCGGGGAGTTGGTGGGGGGCCCTTACCGCCTGGACGTGTCCCCGCCCCGCCGGGTGGTCCGGCCCAGGCCCCGCCCCCTTGCCCGCGGTGGTAGCGGCGGCGCCGACTTCCGGTTCCGGCTGCTGGTGCTGGTGGTGCTGCTGCTGCTGGTGCTGCTGGTGCTGCTGGTGCTGCTGGTGCTGCTGGTGCTGCCGTTGCTGCTGCTGCCGCCGTTGCTGCTGTTGCTGCTGTTGCTGCTGCGGCCGCGGGCGGGCGGCTGACGCTCCGCTGGTCCCTAGCCTCGCCGCCCGGCCTGGCCGCTCCTCGCGCGCGCCCCGACTCCCCTCCCCGCGATGGTGCCGCCCGAGGGCGCGTCCGTCCTCCGCCGCCGCTGACTCCGGCCCCTCCGCCCCATGGCCGCCTCGGCGCCGCCCCCACCGGACAAGCTGGAGGGAGGTGGCGGCCCCGCACCGCCCCCTGCGCCGCCCGGCACCGGGAGGAAGCAGGGCAAAGCCGGTGAGAGCGCCGAGGGCCTGGGCCGGCCGGGCTGGCGAGGGGCCGGGGGTGGGCGGGGGGATGGGGGGCAGGGGCTCGAAGGGACGCTGGGGCTGGAGGAGTAGGGGTCGTGTGTCACCGATGGAGGACCCCGGGTCTGGGAGACACTCGGACTGCAGGAGCCCCTGGGGGAGCGGAGGGGTAGGAAGAGGCGGCCGACGTGCGGTCGTGCGGTGCGGCTGTAGGGAACCTTTGTTCGTAGTCGTTAAGTAGATGAGCACGCGCGTGTCCAAGTTAGCGGGGCTCCTCCGGGCGCGTCCATAGGGAAACGTGTGTGTACCCCTTGTGCTGCGCTTCCAGGTTTGCAGATGAAGAGCCCAGAAAAGAAACGGAGGAAGTCCAACACTCAGGTGAGTGGTGCCCGGTGCTGGGGGCACTGCTGGCTCCTGCTCCGGGACATTTGTGTCTTGTCTCCGGCACACGGACCAGAGAAGGCTACTCTGCTTCTGGCCCCTTCCCTCCACTTTCTAACGAAGGGGGGGGGGCGTGGTGAGTCGTGGGACCACAGACCCCATGCGTCAAGGGTAGAGTTTTTTTTGTCCTGGTTTCCTCTTGGTGAGGACACCTAGCACTTCCCGAGTTTTGTCTAGAGACTTCTGCAGCACTTGGTGTGAACCGTGATTTAACAGGTTTGGGAGATGGGCATTGTCCGTTTTTACAAGGCGAGGGATCTGAGGCCTTAGTGCAGTACCTGCTTAGGGGTCTTGAGGGTATTGGCTGTCAGCTGGGGCTCCAGCACAGTTCTGCCTGCTTTGTCCACCCTCTGTTTCTCTGTGACAGTCCAAGGTCTGTCTTGATTTAGATCTGAGCTGGCTGCTACCAGTGTCCGGAACACGTGTCTCCTCTGCTTTCCTGGTTTATAGCTGTGTGTTTCCTTCTGTGACCCTCCTTCCCTCATCTGTTCTCCACTAGGGCCCTGCATACTCACACCTGACGGAGTTTGCACCACCCCCGACTCCCATGGTGGATCACCTGGTTGCATCCAACCCTTTTGAGGATGACTTCGGAGCCCCTAAAGTTGGGGGCGCAGCCCCTCCATTCCTTGGTAGTCCCGTCCCCTTTGGAGGCTTCCGTGTACAGGGGGGCATGGCAGGCCAGGTACCCCCAGGCTACGGCACTGGGGGTGGAGGGGGTCCCCAGCCTCTTCGTCGACAGCCACCCCCTTTCCCTCCCAACCCTATGGGCCCTGCTTTCAACATGCCGCCCCAGGGCCCTGGGTACCCACCCCCAGGCAACATGAACTTTCCTAGCCAACCCTTCAACCAGCCTCTGGGTCAGAACTTCAGCCCTCCCGGTGGACAGATGATGCCAGGCCCAGTGGGGGGATTTGGCCCCATGATCTCACCCACCATGGGACAACCTCCCAGAGGGGAGCTGGGCCCCCATTCTCTCCCCCAGCGCTTTGCCCAGCCAGGAGCACCTTTTGGCCCTTCTCTCCAGAGACCTGGTCAGGGGCTCCCCAGCCTGCCCCCCAACACAAGTCCCTTCCCTGGTCCGGACCCTGGCTTTCCTGGTCCTGGTGGTGAGGATGGGGGAAAGCCCTTGAATCCGCCTGCTCCCACTGCTTTTCCCCAGGAGCCTCACTCAGGCTCCCCAGCTGCTGCTGTTAATGGGAATCAGCCCAGTTTCCCCCCAAACAGCAGTGGGCGGGGTGGAGGGACTCCGGATACCAACAGCCTGGCACCCCCCAGCAAGGTGGGCGGGGGCTCAGGCCCTCAGCCTCCCCCAGGCCTGGTGTACCCATGTGGCGCCTGTCGCAGTGAGGTGAATGATGACCAGGATGCCATCCTGTGTGAGGCCTCCTGCCAGAAGTGGTTCCACCGAGAATGCACAGGCATGACGGAGAGCGCGTACGGGCTGCTGACCACCGAGGCCTCTGCTGTCTGGGCTTGCGATCTCTGCCTCAAGACCAAGGAAATCCAGTCTGTGTACATCCGGGAGGGTGTGGGGCAGCTGGTGGCTGCTAACGATGGGTGACGCTGGCCAGGGCGATGGTTTCCAAGTCTGGCTCTTGGCCCTTGTTTCCACTGGCTTCCCGTCCCTGTTGGGCAGAAACATGGTGGCTCCGGGGGGCAGAGAAGGAACCGAGGTGGGCAGGCAGAAGAGCCTGGATTGCTCACTTTTCTGGAAACTTACACATACATGTTGAGATCAACAGAGATCCAGGAAATCAACCCTGCCCAGCATTGTAGTGGCTCCAATCTTCAAAGGCCGAGGGATGAGGCTGCCAGAGAAGAGAGGCTGGGGGGAGATCTGGAGGGCAGGGGTCTCTGTGCAGATGATGGATGCCCTAGCACCTGTGCCTAACACTCCCATCTAGCCCCGCAGCTGCAGCCTTAGTTTTTGGAGTGAAGTGTTAAAGGTTTCTGGTCAGAGGAGTGGGGGGTCCCATCCCTGAAGTAGCCTCATCATGGGCTTTAGTAGGAGACAGCTTTAGGGAATAAATGGGGAGTTTCCCTATTTCTCACCTCCTGTGGCTTCCTCCCAAGACCTACCCAATTCCTCCCCCCTCGAGAACCAAATAGCTTGAAGAAGCAGGAGAGCTCTTGGCTGGGGCAGTTTCTTGGTGATTTGGGGCTTCAAGAGTGTGCATAAGAGATGCTGTCCGACGCGTGTCCCTCATACCAAAGCCAGTGGCCCTTTCTCAGCCTCTCGGGCTTTTCTCCTATGACCACATTTTTGCCAAAAATTGGGATACTCGGCCTGACAAACCAGAATATTTGAAGTTCAGACTGTCCTGGAACATGGACTCTGGCTTACCAACCTTCCTGCCTCCCCTGGTTGTTGCACAGTAGTGTCCACTCTGGTCTAGAGCTTTTGGCACCTGTATTCTGCATCCCTGGTTCGATTGAAGGAAAGCCTGGAAAGGCACAGAGCTCTTATACCTCATCTGATAGAAGGATCCCTGCTCCAGCCTGTGGGTGAGGGAGGCAGCGGGACGGTCATTGCTGTGGTTCTGAAATGCAGTCCAGAGTCTGGATGTATTTTGCTTCTCTTTCCCTACCTTTCTGTGTATCTTCTTGGGTCAGGTGATCTAGGAGCTCTTATTCCCCTCAGCCAGAGGCCTGAACTGGGCTTCGTGTGTTAGTATTTTATTTTATAGGCTCTGCATGCCAGAGATGGGCCAGGGGCTGCTAGGAAACTTGAACTGCAGCTGGCTCTTTTGCTTCTCATGCACACATTCCTCAGTGGGGTGGAAGGCAGGCAGCCACGTGGCCCAGAGAGTTGCTAGTGGTCGGTCCCCTGCCCCCTTCTCTTGGACCCTAGCGTGTGAAGAGAAGATTTACACAGGCATACCGCAGACTCTTCTGCCTGCCCAGCTGGAGCCAGCAAGCCAGCAAGTTTTGAGGCTGTGGGAAAGAAGTGAGGGGGTTCTGGGCTTCTCTCCGCACCCAGTTTTGTGTTGTGTCCTGGTTCTGTTGCCCTTCTTCTGTTGCTATTTTTGTGATGTCTTCCTCCCCACCGCCATCTCCGCCTTTTTGTAAGTGGCTCCTGGGAGAGGGAGTCTGTCAATCCTTCTCTTCCTCTCACTCCACTATTTGGAAGAAAGTGGGGGTGGCAGAGATGTGGGGGTGGGGGGTCTTTTGTACGGTTGGATTAATAAAATGACTTGAAAACCCAGACAAGGACTCCCGGCTGTTTGTGCGCACGAAGGTCACCTGTGGGAAGGATGCGCGAGTCCTGAGGCTCCGTACGTGCCCGGGGGTTCTGGAAGACCCGGCGCGGTCCCGGGAAAGCCGGGGGGCACCCCTCCTCCCGCGTCCCTGAGAAAGCCTTTCCTTTCTGGCACATTCCCGGGCCGGGCCGGGCCGGCGGCCAGGGCCTCAGGGACAATGCAGCTGGTGCTTGCTGCTGGGATTGGCGCCCCCCTCCCCCCGTTGTTCGGCTGGCGGTCAGGTGTAGGGGGTCGGAGGTAGGGGCCGGGGAGCACCGCCCGAGGGCTATTTTAGCAGCTCAGCGCTCGCCCCGTCCCGTCCCCCGCGCAGCTGCGTCAGTCCCGTCTGTCTGTCCGACCTTGCCCCTTGGTCCTGCTGTCTCGGGAGGTGACCCCGTGCCTTCCGTGTCGGGTCTTCCCCCCAGGAAAGTAGGGGCAGTGTCCGCCGGCGCAGTACAGGGGCCGGCCGGTAGGCGAGCTCGCGTCCCACCCTGCGGGGCCCTCGCGCCCCTGGCTCTCGACTCGTCTCTTATTGGCCAAAAGTTTCCGCCCCCCCCTCAGGAAGTCGGCTTTCCATTGGCCAGTCCCGGTCACGTGAGCCCCTCCCTCCCCGCTCCCTCCCTCTGGGGGCTGGAAACCCCGGGAGGCAGCAACAGGTCTGGGGAAGACCCGGGGCGCGATCACGTGAGGCCCTGCGGGGCGGCGGGGGGCGGGTCCGGGACCCGGGTGGGCCGGGGGCGCGGCAGCCGGGCGTGCATTCCGCCGGGGACCCGGGGCGCGTCCCGGGCCGGGAGCCGGCGCTCTGGCCCTGGGCGGGCGCTGCTGCAGAGGTTTGGGGGCCCACCTACGGGGCGGAGGGTAGCTGGTCGGAGGGCACGGTGCCCCCTACGGCTGCCTAGTGGGAGCAGCAGAAGGGCCCGGCAGGCCCGAAAGCGTGTTTCTGTTGGCTCCTGCCTAGATGTGCGTGGGGAGGGGTGGAGGCGGCGAGGCCGGCGGGGAGAGGTGAGAACCGGCGAGAGGGCAGAGGTTGGGCTGAGGAGGAACTTCCTAATAAGGCGAAGAGACGCTGGCTGGGGGGCCGGGGCTGTCTTTTGAGAAATGGGACCAACCCATCGGGAGAGTGGGGACCCTGAGGGCTGGGGTTACAGACGGCCTCCTGTTTGGGTCTCAGAAGTGTGGGTCCTGCTGACCCAGATACCATGACTAGTTTCCATGGAGACGGTGGGTCTGACATCACCCTGGTTGCCATGGTGCCTGGTTCTGGAGGACCAGAGTAGGCTGTACATGGCCAGAGATAAACAGGGACTTCAGCCTGAGCTGCTGCCACTTCCTTCCTGCCACCACCTGTTAACAGCCAGGCAACCACTGGGGATGGGGCGAGGGTGGCCAGAGGGCTCTGGGGAGGTCTCTGGGGAGGTCCTGTTGGGTGTGCTATAGGGAGGCCCTGCAGTCATTCTCTCCTCTCCTTGTGGAATGGCTGCTGGTGTCCGGGAGGCAGGTGCATTGGGGAAGACACCGTGAGGGCTCTGTCCCAGCTGTGGATCTGGAAAGGCCAAGGTTATTAGGGCCCTGTGCAGGACTTGCACCAGGTCAAACAGAACGAGGCCGTGGAGGGGGTCCCCAAGAACTGCCTCTTCCCAAGCCTCACTTCCCTTCCTGGGGTTTGCTTACAGAGTCCTTTCCACTTGCTACCCTTTTGGCACCATAGGAAACAGTCCCTTATCATTTGAAGGACCACAGTCCAAGGCTGAGGGGGTCAGCTCATCTGTCCCTCCTGCCTTGTGCCAGGTCCCAGCTGAGGGGACAGTCCTGGCCTTGACTGACAGGACAGGTCTCCCTCTTCCTACCTTGCTTTGTGCCAGGCTCTGGAAGCTAGAGTGACTTCACACTGCTGTCCTGCCAAGTCAGAGATCCTGCCAGGTCAGAGTGGATTAGCAAGGGGCAGGACGACAGCTCTGTTGTCTGTGGTTTTGCAAACTTTAAAGTTTATAACTGATAGCTGCCATTAAAGCCTTTCCCACTGGGCTTCAAGTTCCCTGAGATGAAACTCTGCAGATCATAAAGAAAGGAAACAGATTTTAGAACGGAGAGTCTGCATGACAAGGAGATTTATTGAGGGTACAGCGAATGGATCTAAGCTCTGCCAGCTGTTCTCAGGCCTGGCTGCACATGAGGACTGCCTGGGAGGTTTTAAAAAAGACCCAGGCCTGAGTCTGACCCTGAAACCAGTCGAATCAGAATCTTAGGTGATTCCAGTGTGCAGCCAGTGTTGAGAATCCTGAACCAGGGCTGACAGTGTGTGGGAGGGTGGGTGGACACTCTAGTCTGAAGCAGGCCACCGGGTCCTATCTTCTGAGCCCTGGCATAGGAGGTGGTGACTTTGGGAGAGTCTGGGTGATTCTCACTCTTCTCATCAGCTGTTCATGCTTGGCACAGTCAAGTTAGCCAGCCTATATGGCCTTTGTGTTCTCTGACTCTAACCTGAGGGGGCTGGCCTGCATGGCCCCCAGAACCTGTCCAGCCCTGGGCTTTGACCTTTCAAGGTCAGTCCAGAGTCCCCAGGCCCCGCTGGTCCCCAGAGAGGTAAACTTCTCTGTGACTGTTGGCGGGTTTTGATTTGCTGAGAAGAGGTGGGGTGTTAGGGTTTGAGGGTTGGTTCTGGAAGCTGCAGCCCAGCCTTGGGGACCCAAACAAGGCTGCTCTCTGCATCCTGCCTTTGCTGAAGGAAACCGGGTTGTTTTTTTTTTTTTTAAGATGTTATTTATTTATTCATGATAGTCACAGAGAGAGAGAGAGAGAGAGGCAGAGACACAGGCAGAGGGAGAAGCAGGCTCCATGCAGGGAGCCCGACGTGGGATTCGATCCTGGGTCTCCAGGATCGTGCCCCGGGCCAAAGGCAGGTACTAAACCGCTGCGCCACCCAGGGATCCCGGAAACTGGGGTCTTGAAGAGCATGTTTCTCTGCAGGTGGCAGTGACACAGCTTCTGGGACCTCTGCAACTATGGCTTCCTACCCAGGTTCTGACAATAGCTGGGTGTTTGCCAGCTCCGAGGTAGGAAGAGCAGGCCTGGGAACCCCGTGGAAGAGAGGTTCCTGCAGGCCTGGGCTGCCTTCAGGGTGTGTCCCCTTCCTTGGTTCTGATGGTCACCTGAATCACCTCATGCTGGCTGCAGGGGAGCCCCAGGGGCCGGAGGAGGGAGATTAGGCCCCAGGAGTCAGGTGGTAGGACTTGGACCATGCCCTGAAAGAAGGGTACCCCTGGGGTCTGCTTTGAGAAGTAGGGACCAGCATGAGCAGAAGACCCAAGGCAATGATAGGAAAGCCATTTTGGGGGAAACCGAGGCAGCCCATGGGATGAGGTGGTGACGTGGGTTAGAAAGTGTTGGAGTATCCCAGTGGGGCCTCTAAAAAAAAAAAAAGAATGTGTTGGAGTGAAGCTGGGGGCAGAGCCTGGGGACCCCTGAAGACCCAGGCACGCAGACCTCTTCCTGAGGGAGAATCACAGGAGGGCTTTGGGTCACAGGGACTCAGTACAGTGATTGCCTTGGGCGGAGGGTGAGCTACCCTCTGTGTGGCCTGAAGAGGGGAGTATTTGGAAGGTCCTGCAGTGCAATTGGTGGTGGGCAGGGCAGGAAGCCAGTGGACTCCTGTGTCCCCACAGCCAGGGAGAAGGGAGAAGGGGTCTGGAGAATGTTTGTGAAGGCACCCAAGCCCTGGTAACCTGGTGTGTGAGAACTGCAGGAGGGGAGGGGGCGGAAGAGTGGGGAGGAGTGGGAGTGGGGATGCTGGCCTCGGGGAGGGTGCTGGGGCAGGACACAGGGACTAGGGTACAGTGGAGGACGGACAGCGTGCTCCAGAGCCCTGGACTGTTTTTGGCTGCCTTTGCTGACCTCTGGGCGTTGGACCTTCCTCCTCCCCTGTGAGAGGGGTCATGATTCCTGGCTTATAGGGGTGGCCAGGAGAAAACGGTGGTTTGAAAATTGCAAAGGAATGTACTCAGGCAGAGAACGATTCTTAGAGGGGTGGTGGGAACCCTGGGCAGGGGAGTGCGTGGTGGGCCTGCTGAGCAGGAGTGTCCAAGGATGGAGAGCCCAGTGTTGGTGGGGGAGGGGCCAGGGTGAGCTGTCTGCAGGGAGAGGGGGTGTGGGGGACAGTGGAAAGGCTGGAGAAGCCTGGAAGATGCAAGTGAAGTGAGCTGTCCACAGTATAGACAGCTACATGGAAGCCCACGGGCCACAACAGTGGCCTTGAGGCCCTGGGGGTCTTTGACCTCCACCTTCCCACTCATTAGCAGGTTTCATTGATGGGGAAATGGGACACCCAGGCTTCAACCAGCTTCTTTGGTAGGGGCGCAAGGGTGGGGGCACCAGGTTGGTATGTGATCTTGGTTCAGTGGCATGTTTTCACTAATAGAAGCAGCCTCTGGAAGGTTCCTCACAGCAGTAGTGAGACTAAGAACAGCCAGACACTGCGTCGGCCAACACCCCCCACCCAGCTTGCATGGGGTCACTCCTGGGTGTAGGAGATTTTTGTGAACTGGGGGTGGGGGTTCTGAGCAGACCCCCTCCCTGTGATCTTGGCTCCATCCTGCTGTGCTTCCCCTGGAGCAGCCTTCTGCTTGCACCCCTTCCTCCAGAGCCTGCCCGTGGAGACCCTGGGCCCAGAGTCCACGACGGGCCTGGAGTCCATGATGGACCCAGAATCGGACAGAGCGTCCCAGGCCCTTGGGAGCCCCTCCAGGGCAGCTGCGGAGGAGTTAGCTGGGGCTGAGGATGGAGGAGGTAGCGGGCCCTCCTGGAGGTGGGGGGTGGCCACCTTCCTCTGTGCTGCGGGGTGCCCCAGTGTCCTCGGGACCAGGGTTTTGCTGCCTCTTATCTGTGGGGCTAGTCCGGGTCTAAAGTCTTCTTGCCTCCACCTGCCCTGGCTTTTTCCTGCCCCTTACAACCTGGTAGGGCCTGCCAGAGTCAGAGGGCTGTGTGGGAAGTTCATTTGGGGAGCAGTGGTGTTTTTCCTGCATCTTTTCTTCCACCACAGAGACCCTCTTGCAGAGCGAAGGCTCCCAGTCTGGTCCCATTCTGCCAGAGAAGACTGAGGCCGAGGTGGGTGGGGGCGGGGTGGCGGGGAGTGGGGAGGTACTGGGGAGTGGGTGGGGCCTGGGGGGGGCAGCAGGGAGGGCCTGGGCCTTGTCATGGCTGTGTCTGCTCAGGCTGTCCTGGAAGACGATGGCTGCACCAGGGAGCCCTCTGGCCTGGGAGACACGCTGGTGCAGGGAGACGCAGAGGAGACCCCTGTGGTGGCAGGCCTGGGACCAGACACAGAGGACCTGGAGGGTCAAAGCCCCCCACAGAGCCAGCCTTCATCTCCTGATGCATGTGAGAACCACCCCTGTGCCCCTCTTCATTCTCCTCCTGGAAGGAGTGGGGGTCCGAGCGCTTGGTGCCCAGCGCGGCTCTGGTCCAGGCCCTAGGACTTAGCAGCTTGGTGGTCCCCTTACACTGTGTCTGAATCCTCACCACTACCCCTGAGGACACTGAGGCTCAGAGAGGTTAAGTGACGTGACCAAGGTCAAGTAGTGGGTAGGTGGCAGGGCCTGGGGCTGCTGGGATCTTTCTCCTCTGCCTTGGGGCTTCTTCTTTTCTTGCCTCTAGATTCAGGGGTCAGCTCTGGGCTCCGGAGATGAGGAAGGGCAGGCAGTGAATGGCCTCTATGGGAGGCAGTCCTGTCTGAGCCAAAATGCCGGTCAGGCCAAGAGAGTGGGTAGAGCAGGTGCCCCCTTGGAGGGGGCAGTTCCATCAGGGAACAGGTTGAGGGAAGGGTCACGTTGGAGGTGATACTGAGAGATAGTGGGTTCTTGGTCAGTAGGGTCAGAGGATGAGGACATTCCAGGTCAAGACTATCATATCAGCAAAGGGATGGGGGCCACCTGTCCTGTGCTAAGGAGGTTGTGCCCCAGGCTTGTGGCAGCAAACCATAGGAAACCATTTCTGTTGAAGGGGAACCAAGTGCAGGGAAAGGCTGAGGCCTGAGGCCATTTAGGGGACCACTGTAGTGCTCATACAAAGCTGCTGAAGGCCCCAGGCGGGCAGATCCGAGGCATGTGCTGTGGAATCGTCTGGGTGTGAGGCAAACAGGGAGGGCGTACATAGCCACATGGTGGCTGGGGTGCCTTTCTCTGAGTCGGGGGATGAATACCAGAAGAGAATAGAGGACAGGGCATTGGGAGTTTGGTGCCCAGGTGATACCAGGTAGGAGTGGCTGGTGTACAGTCTGTTGTTCAGGTCAGGAACTTAAGACGGGGAGCTTGTCTGCTATGGAGGGAAATCTGTGCTGTGGGTGATGGTGTGTGGTGAGATGGCCAGCCCCTGAGCCCCCAAGCCCAGAGGGGCTGAGAGGCAATGGCCAGTTGGGACAGGAACTGCCAGAGGAGCTTGAGGTGAGGCACGTGTGGAGGAAGGATGGTGCTCGTAGGGTAGAGCTACTCCTTGAGCTCACAGGTTGGAAGGCTGGGCAGGGCAGTCACAGATGCCCAGGCGGACGTGGGCAGCATCTCTGCTTGTGTCCTGCTTCTGGTCGTCTCACTGCCTCGTCCCTCTCCCTTCCCCCAGCTTGGCCCATGGAGGAGGCCGGCTGCTCCAGCAGTGAGGATGACACCGATGTGGACGTGGAGGGTCTGCGGAGACGGCGGGGCCTAGAGCCTAGTGCTCCCCAGCCTGTGAGGCCCCTGGGTCTCGATGGCCTGGCCAGAGGCGGGGGTGCAGGCGGGGAGCTGAGCATCTCCGTCAACATGTGCCTTCTTGGGGCCCTGGTTCTGCTGGGCCTGGGGATCCTCCTCTTCTCCAGTGAGTGGTGCCTCCCCTACAGGGGCCTGGGCCTCCCACCCCTCCCGACCCCTGCCCCATTGTCGGTGAGCCTCACCACATTCCTCTGTCTCCATCCTCAGGTGGGCTCTCAGAGTCGGACAGTGGTGAGTGTCCAGCCCTGAGGGAGGCTGCTGGGAGCGGTTCTCTGGGGCGGCAGTGGGGATGATGCTGGGGCTGTCCTCCCATTACTCAGTTACTGGCCTTTTTGGCTGCTCGTGGTGGCCTCTCAGCCATGGGGTCCAGGGCTGGCACAGGAGGGCGACTGGGTGTGTGTGGAGGTCAGGGAATGGGTGGGAGAGTGGTTTTTGTGCGCTGGGGCCAGTTTCAGGACCTGGCTTTCCCACAGGGCCCACTGAGGAATTGCGGGTCCTCCCGGATTCCCAGCTGGACACCGAGGTGCGGGTTGCTGTGGGGGACAGGCAGGTACATTTGGGTGTGCCCAGAGCTGTGTGGGGCCTGGTGGGGAGGCACATGGCTTGCCTGGACTGTGGCGCAGTGGGTGACTGGCTCCTTTGCCCCAGGATGAGCTGAGGCAGCATCTGCAGGCTGCTGCACCCTCTGCTGGCGTCCCCAGCCTGCAGAACATGGCCCTCTTGTTGGACAGGCTGGCCAAGGAGAACCAGGATATCCGGTTGCTACAGGCCCAACTGCAGGTGGGCACACGTGGGAGGGTGGTGGCTAGGTTGGCCCTCCTTCAGCCAGGCGTCGATCCCCTGTCCTCCCCAAAAGAGGTTGTCTTTGCTAATCCCCCAGCTCAGCCCTCTCCCGTTCTCTGGTGTTGGGTCATCTTCCTAAGGCCCAGGCCCAGAGCCATGTGCCTGTTGCACGAGGCATGCCACCTCTGATGGATGGTTCTGGTTTGCCTGAACATGGGCATGGGAGCATGGGACAAACAGGCCAAGGCCCAACAGACAAGCAGTGCGGCGATCTGCAAATGATATCTGCTCCGGGCCTGGGAGGTCGAGAGGGCAGTGAGAGCCACGTTGGGCTAATCTTAGGACACAGAAGCCAAAGTCTGTGAGGGAATTTGGGGATCCCAGGTCTGGTGCAGGTTGTGGATGGCAAAGAGAATGAGAACCACTTTCTCTGAGCAGTGCAAGTCCTGCCTGCTATCCTGGAGTGGACATCCCTGACAGGGCACCCTCCACCCCAGGCCCAGAAGGAAGAGCTGCAGAGCCTGATGCAGCAGCCCAGGGCCCTAGAAGAGGAGAATGCCCGCCTCCGGGGGGCTCTGCAGGACGGCGAGGCCTCCCAGCGTGCCCTTGAGTCAGAGCTGCAGCGGCTTCGGGCCCGGCTTCAAGGGCTGGAGGCTCACTGCACCCGGGGTCCAGATGGCGTGTGCCTTGATGGGGATAGAGGCTCCCGGGGCAATGGGCTCACTGGGGAGCCGAGCCCTGACCTCCTGGAGCAGAAGGAGCGGCTGGAGGCCGAGGCCCAGGCCTTACGGCAGGAGCTGGAGAAGCAGCGCCAGCTGCTGGGGTCGGTGCAGCAGGACCTGGAGCGGAGCTTGAGGGGTGTGGGCCGAGGGGACTCCACTCGTGCCAGCCTGACTGAGCTGGGCCACAGGCTGGTCCAGAAGCTACAGAGCATGGAGAAATGGAATCAACACCCTTGGGTCAGTGCCAACACCTCAGAGGCCAGGCCCCAGGAGTCCCACTTCCAGAGTGCCAGGGAGTGGAGTGGGAAGGAGAAGTGGCAGGATGGGCAGGGGGGCTGGAGTGCTGATCACTGGAAGCAGAAGAAGGAGGGGTCTGGCCGGGAGAGAAAGAAGAGCTGGCGGGGTGAGGAGGACAGGGAGCTGGCAGGGAGGTGGAAGGAGGGCAGGCTGAGGCTGGCGGGCTGGGGCGGCAAGAAGGACGGCAAGAAGGACGGCAGGCAGCAGGGCCCCAAGGAGCCCCCTAGGAAAAGTGGGGGCCCTCACTCCTCTGTGGGGAAGCAGAAGCACCCTCAGTGGAAGGAAGGGGCTGATGACGGGCATGACCTTCCGCCACTGTGGGCAGAGCTGTCGCGGCACAAGTACCGGGCACCCCAGGGCTGCTCGGGTGTGCGCGAGTGTGCCCGGCAGGAGGGTTTGGCCTTTGGTGTGGAGCTGGCCCCCGTGCAGCGACAGGAGCTGGCCTCTTTGCTAAGGACTTACCTGGCACGGCTGCCCTGGGCTGGGCAGCTGACAAAGGACTTGCCCCTCTCGCCTGCTTACTTTGGCGAGGATGGCATCTTCCGCCATGACCGTCTCCGCTTCCGGGACTTCGTGGATGCCTTGGAGGACAGCCTGGAAGAAGTGGCTGTGAGACAGACTGGTGATGATGATGAGGTGGATGATTTTGAGGGCTTCATCTTCAGCCACTTCTTTGGAGACAAATCACTGAAGAAGAGGTGGGCAGCTGTGTTCCGGGGGAGGACGTGCGAGGGAGGTTTGTAGGGCCATGGGCCCTGGGTCAGGGTCTTTATTTTGAACCACTGTTAATCAACAGCTGGTTGCCCTTGGAGCAGCGTCCATCTCTATCTTCCTGGAGGTCGGAGAGCTGCCTGTGCTTACCCTGTAGTAGTTCTGGGCAGTTCCCTTTTGGGCTGGGGGGATTTTTCCCCGAATTGTTCTGCCCTGTGAATACCTGCAGTGCCCGGGGTGAGGAAGGTCATTCCATTGCCCTATTGCCTTGACAGGGGATGTCATCCTGGGGTAGCGGGTCTGGCCCCTCCATGTGATTGCTGGTGGCTGCCTTGGAGGAACAGGCTCCCCTGCCCTCCAGGAGCCCCTTCTCACTGTGTGGCATTGTCCTCTGAAGACTTTTCTTCCCCGCCTCCCCATGTCTCTCCACAGGTCAGGAAAGAAGGACAGACAGTTGCAGAGCCCAGGGAGGGGCTGAGGCCTGGTGTCCCCTCACCCCGGAAACCACTGAATGGTCCTCTCCTCTGGCTCCTATGAGAGCAGAATCTCTCAGTGATGCACTGATGCCGCTTTTGCTAGAGAAAAGCCTTAGCTGGATCTGCCTTGCTGGTTACTGCATGCAGGCTCTGATCCTGTCCTTGCGGGCGGGAATTGTGATTCTTCAGCCTCACAGCTTCCGTCCTCCTGTGTGTGTGCCCCACAGTGCCCCCCGGTTTCATGCACTGACCCATGCCCCCTGGAATGAGCCTAGACCTGCTGGCTGGATGCCCAGCACCATTGCTTTCCCAGGGGTTTTCTTAGATTTGGACACAGCCACCCCCCAGGGGTGAAGTCCCCCTTTTACCCCTGCTTCTCCCAGGGCCCCCCTCCCTGTGTGAATAGTAGGCTCCCACCCCTGTAAGAAGCTGTTGGAGTTTTGGTGTGGGGCGTGGGCTCTCTCACGGGGGGGGGGGGGAGCTGTATCAAAGCATGGGACCCCCATACCCTCTTTGTCCTCCACATCCCTCTCCCAGCCACCCTTGGGCCCTTGGGGCTGGAACTCCCCACTTGCTGGCGGCCACCTTGGAGCCCCTGGGAGAAGTAGAAAACGAACACGGGTTTTGGAGTGGGAGCCTTGGGCTCGCGGCAGGCCGAGTGATGTTGGGCAGATTAATCCCTGGGAACTTTAGGTTTCTGATCCTCAAAATGGGGGATTGGACGGCTGGGAAGAGCTGAAATAAAGCACAGCGAGCACAATGTCTACTCTGTATTTGGCACTGCCTGCAGGGTGCAGAGGAGGGAGGGGAGGATCTCCACCAGGCTTCTGGACAGGCCCGCGGGAGGCCACTAGGTGGGGCCCCGGCTCCACGTTTCCTGCAGATCTGGCCTCCCTGCTCGATGTGCACAGACTGGACCCCTGCCCCGCCCACCTGCGCGCTGCCAGGACCTGGACCCCGCTGGCCCCTCCTCCGAAAGTCCTTCCCGGATTGCCCTGGACGTCCCCCGCCAGTGTAGGGGTGGAATAACGCGTGGTGTGACATCAGGAAGGGGGGTGCACCAGCAGGCTCCAGGAGGGGGCTGTGGTGGGTGGCAGGTACTTGGGGGTGCCGCTGGCTGCTGAAGGGCTTTAAGCCCACGAGCTCATCTGAGTGGGCTGGGGAGGGCTGGGGGGTAGGGGGGGATGGGATTGGAGGCCACGAGGCTGGGTACCCAACCAGCAGTACACCAGTCCACCGTGGGAAAGTCTGTTGGGTATGAGGAGGCATTAAAGAGCCTTCATCCATGGGGAGATCCCTGGATGGCTCAGCGGTTTAGCCCCTGCCTTCGGCCCAGGGCGCGATCCTGGAGACCCGGGATCTAGTCCCACATCGGGCTCCCTGCATGGAGCCTGCCTCTCTCTGCTGGTGTCTCTGCCTCTCTCTCTCTCTCTGTGTGTCTCTCATGAATAAATAGATAAAATCTTTAAAAGAAAAAAAAAAAAAAGAGCCTGCGTCCAGTGGAGCTGCTTTCTGCAGCAGGAAGGACCACAGTTAGGCCTGAGGAGGAATTTCCTCTGGGTAGAGGGTCAGTGATGGGGGCTGGGGGTCTTCTGGGGGAGAGCCAGGGCGGCAGGGACACTGGCCATGGATTACCCTGTGTCTGGGCTGACCTGGCTAGGTGATGCTCATGCCCCCATCACAGGTCAGGAGGCCCCTGTCTCTGTCACCCCCAGCAGCAGTGGTGACAAGCGAGTCCCTGGCTCCAGCTTACAGGATGCTATCTTGGTCGGGGCCAGCATGTGAAGATGAGCCCTGGCCAGGGCTATGGGGCAGCACTCCCCCCGCTCAGAGCTGGTCTGTCCTGATGGTGGGGGTGGGGGGCCCTGGGAGCAGATGCACTGGACTCTGCCACCCAGCTCTGCTTGGCCTCCCAGGGTCTGGCCTGGACCCTTCCAGTTTAAGTACTTAGCTTTCCTGCCTTTTCTCTGAGAACTCCCTAGCTGAGGGCTCAGCTCCAGGGGTGTCCCTCTGAGGAGTCACTCAAGTCAGGAGTGTATCCCTCTACTCGCAATGGGAAAAGTCTGCTTCCTTTGACATGTCCCCACTTGCATCTGTGCCTCAGTCTGCCATCCCTCCCTGGCATCCCTGCTCCTCACCTAGCCTCCCTCCTTCCCTGGCTCCCCACTGCCTTGACCCCAGTGCCCTCAGCTTAGCTTTCCCTCACCCCACAGGCCCTTACACCCCTGAGACGCCCCCCAGGCCCAGTCTTTCCCCACTCATCCTAGGGGATGGGGCACGTGCTGAGAGTGCAGTGGGGGTGAATTTCTCCCATTAGCTCCTTAAGGTCAGAGGCGTGTGTTCCTCTTGAGAACCTCTCCCAGCCCCCTCTGCTGGGCCCCAAGCTGGACTGGCTGGTCGGTGCCTTGGGAGCCTCCCATGGCTACCCTGATGCCTGGATGGCTGCCCATCTGGGCTTGTGCTGGACCACAGGTGCTCCTGGTCCCTTCACATGGCACATGCTCACTGCGGATCAAGGAGGGACCCTGCAGGGTGTGGGCTGGGCTCTGTGGCTCTAGGTTCAGACAATAACAGGCTGTTACTTCTCAGCCCCCTTGTTGCCAATGCCACCCCTCACAGAGTGGCCTTCCCTGAAGGTGTCTGTAAGCTTTGGCTTCCAGAAGACGCCCAGCCCAGGTCTCTCCTCACAAGGAGAGGCCTGTGCAAGCTCGAGGCCAGAAGACTCAGTCTCTGGTGCCCAGCACTGTCCACCTGTGGGCCCCAAATAAGGCACCCCTCCTCACTTTTGGGCCCAGTGTGGCCATCAGGAGTCCCCACAGGTTGTTGCGAGGATGAAATCAGTGTCTTCAAATAGTAGAGCATGGTCACAGAGAGTAGTTGTCGTTACCTAACCTCTAAGCAGGGAGCTAGGCCCTCTGAGCTCTGGGTGTGTTTCCCAAACCTCACGGTAGGGGGCTGGCCGAGGAAGGACGCCATTGTGCATTTAACTCTGCTGGGTGCGTGCAGACCCTGCTCCTTGCAGAGCCTGCTCCTTGCCCTGAGGCTAACTGGGTTAGTCTAACACGGCACAATTTTACCTGTACTCTCTTAATTGTGCTCTCTTAATGGGAGGAGTCCGCCTGGCAGTTGAGAGGAACTTTGAAGGGTAATAGGACTTGTGACAGGGGAGGGGGCTTCAGACTTGGCAGAGGGGAGGCCCGAGGCAGGGAAAACAGCCTTGTGGCCAGATGGTTAAGGTGACATTCTCGATTCTCCCACGGGCCCACTTGCAAAGCTAGGGAGGAGCTATGCTGTGCCGAAGGGGTAGATTGCCACCAAAGGCATTTCAGCGGGGACACCTGTGTGAGGGGAAGTGCACACGGGTGCTCTGTACCTGGCAGCTAGGGTGGAAGAGACTGGATGTGAAGTTGGGGTAGTTAGGAGGTGTCAGCCAATGGCCCAGGAGAGAGGTCACATGGGCCTCACTTGGAGCATGTGTCAGAGTGGGCCAGCCTTGGATGGTACTAGGCCCTGGGGCAGGGGGTTTGTCAAAGACTCAGCCTCTCAGCCCTGGGACAGGTGGGTGAGCACCCCCCTCCCCACCTCCGTCCCAGTCCCAGCAGTGCTGGGCAAGGAGGAGCTGATGATGCAGGGGCAAGGTGAGAGGGGGAAGTGGCTGGGCTTGATTTTGCAGGATATGGGGGAGGAGGAGAGCCAGCCTCCCAGCAGGTCACCCACTGTGCCACCCCTCTCCCCATTCCCTCCCAGACAGGGCCCCTTTGGAGAAGTTCTTTTTTTTTTTTTTTTTTTTTTTTAAGATTTTATTTCTTTATTCATGAGAAACAGAGACAAAGAGAGAGGCAGAGACAAAAGGAGAGGGAGAAGCAGGCTCCACGCAGGGAGCCCAACGTGGGACTCGATCCCAGGTCTCCAGGATCATGCCCTGGGCCAAAGAAGGCGCTAAACCGCTGAGCCACCTAGGCTGCGCACCCCCCCCCCTTTTTTCCCCTTTGGAGAAGTTCTAACTGGCATCGGTCAGCTTACTGAGCCTTCACTTCAGCTTACTGAGTCTGCAGGCAACCACCGCCCTCAGAGGTCTTCAAGGAGACCCTGTCCCAAGTCGGAGGGCTGGCAGTCACCAGGCTGGGGCAGGGCAGGTAGGAACGGAAGCCATGTACTGTGGAGAGGAAAGTGTCAGTCCACCGTGGGCCAAACAGACCTTGCATGCCTGCTGCTCTGGAGCGCAGTCCCCGGCCCTCACAGAGGCAGACTGTGGGGATAGGCAGGTGCAGAGACTGTGGCATGAGCCTGGCCCAGACACACGGGCTGCCCTTCTCATCCACTTGGGCCGAAAACTTTTCAGGGCTCCGCTATGGTGCTGAGAGGTAGGCCTTAGAGAAGGTAAGACCATCAGGAGGGCAGCCCCGGTGGCTCAGCGGTTTAGTGTTGCCTTCAGCCCAGACTTGCTTCTCCCTCTGCCTGTGTCTCTGCCTTTCTCTCTCTCTCTCTCTGTGTGTGTGTGTGTCTCTCATGAATAAATAAATAAAATCTTAAAAAAAAAAAGACCATTAGGAACTGTTCACAGATGATGAGACTGCGAGAAAGGAGGTGTCTTGCCTGAGGGTCCCATCAGAGTTGGACTGTGACAGGGGAGGGAGACTGACCCTTAGGTGGGCCCCAGGACACCAGTTGGTGCTTGAAACGTTGGGTAGTGCTGCTTGCCTGCCCTGTCCCCACCCAGTTGGCTCTGGGCTTGAAAGCAGTGTCTGAGCTCTACCTGTGCATCTCCATCTGGGCTGGTGCACCCCCACTCAGCCACTGGGCACCTGCTGCCGCTAGCACCCCTGCTTGTGGGCAAGAGGAGGCCAGCCTGGAAGAGCCCTTTGTGGGCAGGAAGCCCGTCTCTTTGGTCCAGAGGCGTGTGAGATTGGAGGCCCAAAGAAGGAAGTGACTTGTCCAAGGTCACAAAGCTTGCCCCTGGCTCCTGACCTCTATGAGTCTCCTGTCTTTTCTCCCTCCTCTTCTGTCTCCACTTTTTCAAGCTTGGGACTCAGGCTCTAAGGTGAGCTCTGGAGGAGCTGGTCCTTCCTCATGCTGCCTTGGAGCTTTGACTGCATTCTGGCTCCTGGAACAGACGTCTGGCCGTGGCCACTCAGAGGGGCGGCTGGATGGCTGGATGACAGGAAGCTGGGCCTGTGGAGGGCTGGGGTGAGAGGGAGGGATCCTTGGAGCCTCGGAACCACCCCTGGAACCTCAGCAACTGGGTTTGGGGTTGTGAGGGCTCAGGCCCGAGCATATCCACAAAGGGCCCTGTTGGCCTGGGGGCAGGCGTGAGGTCCTCGCCTCCAGACTGTCTCCTTGAGGGCCCTCCCTCACCTGCTCATTTATGCGTCAGCCAGGTGTTCACTCAGCAGTTCCCCAGGCCCTGCTGCCAAGCTGGCCAGCAGTCTCAGAACATGTGAGTGCAAGCTTGGGGGCAGCTCCGGGCACCTGCCAACGGGGCCTGGGGTCCTGGAGGCTCTACCCAGGCTGGGAAACAGCTACCTCTGAGCTATGGAGGCCCCGCTCCTCTGCTTACAGCTCCTGATTTGAAAGAAGTCGGTCCATCTCCTTTGGGGAATAAAAGCCAACCTCTGTCACTAAGAGAATTAAAAAACCGTGAAGTGAAATCAGCGGATTAGTCTGTGAGTGGCAGCAATGTGGGCTCAGTCCCCAGCCATGACGTGGACATTCAGTGCATGGTAATATAAGAGAACAAAGATGTTTCTCTAAACCGTGAAT